TTATGTCTTAGTTCACTGAAGCCAAAAGTTTTTCGATTGTCGTATACTGGCAGCATCGTGTGCTGCCAAGCAGCAAAGAAATACTGTGACGCATTCTGCTAGCAAACGCTGACATTGATATCACGGGAACAGACAACGCCTTTGTCAGGCGTCCTGTTTCTCTTCCTATCCCGTCCGTGTATTTTACTTATTTATTTATTTCAAATACCCTCAGGGTACAAACGTACATCGAAGAGGGGAGGGGCCAAAGTTATTACACGGTAACTACGTGAGTATAGGTACAAATATAGATAGGAAATACAAATTATAGATAAAAAACTGTTTGGCAGTACGATGTTTCACAATGTTCGTCACAATCAAAGGGTCTAGCTATCATCAACTCGTAGTGAAGCACCCATGGTGCAGAGGGCGTAGATAGACGGGCCATTAGGACGTTGGTCGTGTATTAAACCAGGGTGCATTTCTATCTAGCCTTATAAAACGGACATTCTTAAGTCCCTCGTGCATACATTGTTACTTCTCCGCTTATGTATGTGCTTCTTGGTGGGAAAACAATGTTGCGAACATTGTAAACACTGCCGCCCTGCCACTGACCTTTGTTTTTTCGTTCGCCTTGTGATGCGGCGTCATAAGTATTCTCCGCACCTGTGGACAACTACGCAGCAGTGGCTATTCGTTTACCTATTTTTTTTTGTTGTTGTTGTCTTCCCTTTGTGCTCGATGCGCTGGCTATTTTATTGGGTCTGTATATTTCCACGAATACATATTTTTGTTAGGACGTATAGTTTGGTAAAATGAAAACACTAGTCTTCGTGGGGAAATCCTAAAGGCCGCGCCTTGACGAACGAAAACATTGAATTCGTGGACTTTCTGTGATCGTGACACTCCACGTCTCCGCAGTAGCTTGAGTGGCAAACAACGAGACTCGCGAAAAAGCCAAAGTTTTCAAGCGAGTATCTGAACAACTTAGTTCTTTTTTTTTCATGAGACTATAACTTTTGTTCATCTCGCTTTTGCGGATTCGTGTGTTCTTTTTATACATGCTATAAAACATGACGCGTTGGCATTTTGCCCTGTCTGTGTATTCAAGTCTTTATAGCATTTCTGTAATGACACGTACCTCCTTGAAATGTCACACACTGACCTTCGTGTGGAAACCCTAGATTCCGTGCCTCGATGAGAGAAAACATTGAACTCTCGGACTTTTCGCATTCACGACACATCTAATCTGCGAAGAAACGAGAGTGGCGAACAATGAGACGACGAAGTGTCGCTCAGAACTTGGCTTCTGCGAGACGATATAGTTTTGTTTTGTTTTTTTTCTGACTTTCTCGCGGACGCTTGTGTTAATTGGCTTGCATGTGAACTCTGCGATTGGACTGAGGGCAGCTGGTGTTGTTGTTGTTAGTGTTTCATGAGGAAAAGGAAGAAGGCACCTAATTTCTGTCTGCCTACAGGCGACACGGCGCAGTGCCTTACCAGCTGGTGGCCGAAGTTCAGGCGCCCTTTTCGGCGGCTGTCCATCGCGACGACCCGTCTCGATGCCTCCACCTCGCCTCGCCCGACGTTTTCTCATTCGACAGCCTTCTTTGGGGCACCACGGATGCTGTTCTTGTGCCTCTCGCAGCTCCGAAAGTTCGCGGACCACAGGATTATAAACCTTATTTTCCCAAGAGCATTCATTCAAAGCGCACAACGTCGTTTTGTGGCTAGGAACTCGATGTAAAGCTTTGACTTGAATCAGTATGGTCAACCATGAGTGGGTGCAGGGTTCTTCACCAAGGGCAGGGAAGTTGAAGGTTTGTCGCAGCGTCCCTCCTTACCTAGTCAATGTATAAGGCCGATTTCGCCCCCTCCCTCTCTTAGCTAACTGGAGAACGCGCCCGCTTTCCCCTCCCCCACCCACATGTGCAGGCCTGTGCAATCGACTGGGAAGAGAAATGAATTCAGCTTTCGAGGTCGTCTTATTAAAATGCAAACAGACCATAGTGACTTTTTTTTCACATTTGTTCTCCTGGGGGCCACTGCTAAGACTTTGTGTTCTAGCTTTTTTTTTTTTTTGGTGCAAATGCCCGGCTTTGTAGAAGAAACCCGGATCACGTTTTCGGCTCAAGATCCAGTTCTCCGGGCTGTTCGGTCACGTGGGCTGTGCGTCACGAAAGTGCGTCGGCACGGGCGTGTTAAAACCAGTGCGAAAGTTTTGATTTTTCGCCTCGCCGACAACCGGTTCTTCCTGAATACGGGACCATTGCGTACTTTTTTTGTGCTTTCTCTTCGCGTCTCGTATGCTCGAAATTCATGCCGATAAAGCATGCCGAGAATTGACATGAGTTGCGGTTCCAATTAGAACGCGGGAGCCAACATCGTGGTGACTGATTCCATTACTCACACTACCCTTTTTTTTTAAGACAGGTCTTCGAGATGTAGATGTTCTACTAAGATAAACGTATAGGTACGTTCACACCAAATAGTGCTATGGTCGCCAAGCACCAAAAAATACATCGTGCAAGCTCTCAATTATGAATGCACAATGAATAGTGAACAAGTTTTTTTGTTTTTTTTTTTTTTCAAATAAATGTATTATGCCGATTGCCTTTTCTGAGGACGCAAGATCGGCTGAGTCATTTGCTCGTTAGGGAACGAGGTTTGACTTATCTTCCCAGACCCATGAATCAACGGCACTCTAATATAAGCGCACTTGATGGAAATCCAAACCCCTACCCGGCTTGACCAACGCTGGTCCCATGCATTAGTTCCCAAACAGCACAAAGCTCGTTGCTAGCGGAGGTGTGACCGAGCACTCCGACCCTGTAATTCTCATGATAGGGGTACTTTATTGAAAATGAGTAATGAAAATAGGTGTTCTCCCAAAATTGTCAAGGTCTTCAGCAAGTGGGCCCTAGCCGGAAGAAATTCCTGGCTACGGGCTTGTGCACTAAAGTAAACGACAACACTTTCGTACCTAAGCGTAGGACACGTCGTCATTACGTAATCATCAGCGTGCGACTTTCTCGCTACGAGGCCTTGATCGGCTGGTAGTAGAGCCTCCCATTCCGAAAGCGGTACGCCCCTCACCGCGCCACCTGTGGCACGCGCGCGCCTTAACCGGTCGCAAATGCTTCCACACGTATGTCAGGGCACGGACTCTCGTACAGTGCTTATGGCACTTTTGTGATCAATCATCGCGAACGTTTGCACAACGCCCGGAGCATGAGCATCGGCGGCGGAATGTAAAGAGGGAATTTGTCTCACCCACCTCCTCAAACCCCACCTGCGAACCCTCCACCCCCACCCCCCCTCCCTGTGGAGATCCACTCCCGCCCAAGACTGAGTGACCGTGCCATGTTCCGTAAACTAGAAGACACCATTGTTTTTAAGGGTACAACTAACTTTGTACTTGCCCACGTATTCTAGAACGTCCCTTCACTCAACGCTCCACCTTCACTTGAGAAAGCCGATGGAAGCGCCGTCTCTAGTCAGGACAAGTCACTGCATATCAGCAATGAACTGCTGCAATTGTTGAGTAGCACAGCGCCATTTTCAGCCGAGCAGCGGCGCAGTGCTCAACTCTGTCAAGTGAAGGGAGAAAGTCGAGTCGAGGAGCGTTTGTGAATACGGGGCTTACAATCGCTTAGTGTTGTTCCAAGTGGTACATATTGCTTGGCGAGCATCAGTTCGTAGTCCAGCATGTGCACTCATATTCTCTTCCCGTACAAGTGCGCACAGCCCCAGAGTCTTTTCACGCTGTCGTGAGCGACGGCGACGCCTGTGGTTGTTCTCGGAAACCCGAGACATCAAGCTGGAGGGCGGCCGCGACAGTTGAGACGGGCCAAGGTCTGAACTGAAGGCGATGGCCCGCGACTGTACTGCCGGTGCCGTTTCTGCTCTGAAGGGACGTGCACTCGCGCGCACGCGCGAGCTCTCCCATAACGTCCGTGAAGATTATATCAAAGCGGAAGAGCTACAGCAAAGTCATTTCAAAGCGACCCCTCCATCCCACGCGAAATCGCTGGGTCTCCTAACAGAAAAAACTCCCATGAACGACTTCAGGACCGCGGTCAACGTTCTCAAGACATCCATGGGAGAATAGTTGTAGCAGGAGGCAAGCAGTTTTCGATACAATTTGTTTCTCAACTGTCGTCGGTGTGATAGATAGATAGATAGATAGATAGATAGATAGATAGATAGATAGATAGATAGATAGATAGATAGATAGATAGATAGATAGATAGATAGATAGATAGATAGATAGATAGATAGATAGATAGATAGATAGATAGATAGATAGATAGATAGATAGATAGATAGATAGATAGATAGATAGATAGATAGATAGATAGATAGATAGATAGATAGATAGATAGATAGATAGATAGATAGATAGATAGATAGATAGATAGATAGATAGATAGATAGATAGATAGATAGATAGATAGATAGATAGATAGATAGATAGATAGATAGATAGATAGATAGATAGATAGATAGATAGATAGATAGATAGATAGATAGATAGATAGATAGATAGATAGAATTCCACAACACTAGATATTTTATTAATTGCATGTAGCTCGGCTAGTTGGTAGTGACTTGATGAGTCCGTAATATTAGTGAACACGCACTACCGACTGCACAGAACGTTTAGCGGTTGTCTTGTGTTGCTCAGTGTGGTCTGCAGAGTGCGCTGGGTGGCATTGAAAATTCATCGAGTATACATTTCGCACTAGTCAGCTGATTGCAACAAGGGGTTTGTTACTGAGTAATAGCTTTCGTTAAAACTGCGTCAAGGGGTGGCTTTGGTATCCTGGCTGCTCACAGTTATGGCTCCGTGGACTCCTTAGTGACTGAACAGTAACATGCCCTGACAGAAGGGTTCGATCTCTTCGTTAATTATTTAAAGTTTTGTAATAATGAAATGATCAAGTTAGTAGGTGACTGATGAATTAATTGATTGTAGTCATAATAACTTCGCATTTTCTTCCTTTCTCTTTCTATCACAGCCGATGGTCGACATGAGCTCCGAGTCTGACTGGTCGACCATACTGGACAATCCTATCATCCTGCACGACCGCATGATGTCGGACGCCGTCCAGTCTCCACGCATACAGTCCGAACACTCATACTCCATGACGTCCAGTGACGAAGGTCCGGACTCGCCACTCTCCATTACGCCGCACATCAAAATCGAAGGTGAGTGAGCCCGTGTTAATGGCGTCTCCGCCGCGGCGAAAGAGCTCGGCGTTTCGCAGACATTCCGGTGTTCGTGTCGGTAACGGTGGTGTCATTGGCTGTGTGCGAAAAAGCAGCGTTGGTTGTGAGCGATAATTCGAGGCAGATGCAAATAAAGACAGGCACCGAAGGACTTTTCACTTTGGCCTTTCTTGCGGCATTGTTTATATCTCCACCGAGAAACGAAGGCAGCCTTGCAATTGGAAAGGGGATGCAGTATCTCTCTGTGGGTGCGCGTGTGTGTGTGTGTGTGTGGGGGGGGGGGGGGGGGGGGTCCCTGAAAGCGCTTAATCAAACTCACGATTTCATACGCAAATCAACAAAACAAGAAAAATACAAGAACAGTTATATAAATAACGTTGCAACACCCTCGGTAGCCGCAGCAAGAGCGGAAAAATTTCACCGAAGCCCGGTCGAAACGTCTAACTACCTAATAATCTGTTGCTTTTTTTTTATTTACGCAATACTCGCAGCGCCATCAAAGGCATTGCAGTGAAAAGGAAAACACAATATAGGCGGATTTATACATCAAATATAACTAGTAAGAAGAAAAAGAAGTGGGCACGAAAATTAATAAACTACATACGAAACCAGTACGCGAAGAAAGGCAAAGGTTAGGGTTTTCTCGTGTCGGTCTACTACTACTTCAACCCCTTCACGACTTTACAAATATCTATATGAGCGACAACGTTCATGCTTTGTATATCTTCATCGTGTCACGTTAAGTACGACCTGTTAGAAATCTCAGTTACAGCGAGAAAAGCTAAAACGGCAAGGTATAGAGAAAATATATGGAACATTCGGTAAGGTAGGCGGAGATGGCTTGCACACCACTCTTCTTTATGTATGCCTTGTCCAAGTGTTTTTGGTAAGGTGCTAACTCGAGAGCAAAGATAGCCGCAGTAACGACGAGCATCAGGTATCGCTCTTCAAGGTCGCGAAACTAACCGGAACAAAAGTAATGCATTTCGCTACACGTGAAACTTTGTGCATTCTCACCGTCCCAACTGAATGTTTCACTCCAGCTTGCCGTTCACGCCTTTTGCATTCCCATTTCTGACGAATGCGATTACCGGTTTTCGTACGTGTTTCCTGACAAGTTCTGATGAGACAGTTGAGCCGAATTGCTTCGCAAGCTTTTGTGTAAAAATTTCCGCGAACATCAGTCGTATAGCATGTGTTTCGCGAACTTGAGGCCTTACTATAGCTTCCTCTTCTTCGCCAGTGAAGTTTGAAACGTGGGCGCACATAGTTTTCGACCTATTTTTGGGCACTTCAGTCTCCGGCCTCCTTGTCGGCTAGCTTTAGGCCCGGTCACGCTCCAGAAAACAAAAGATGATGCCTCGGCGTGCCGCCCAATTACTCAGCCGTTTCTTCTCGCAGTTCCGCGTAGAGCTCTTCGGAGGCATACAAAACTAAAAGAATGGCAGCATATCTACGGAGTGAATGATGGAGAGTGGGGCGAAGCATCCGTCCGTCTATTCGTTCTTGCTTCCGGCCCTCCATGCATCCGTCCATGTGACCGTCCATCCAACCGTCCGTGCGTGCGTCGTCTGTTCGTGCGTCCGCGCATCCATCTGTGCGTCCGTCCCTGCGTCCATTCATCCATGCAGCCATCCGTGCGTCCGTCCATGCATCTGTCTGTGTGTCCGTTCGTCCACCTATTCTACACTCCAAGTACCACCATCTCGCATCCTTTCACCATATATTCCCCATATAGAAGCATCGCCATCCAGCGGACATTCCAAGGACTAAACGAGAGGTGGCACACGCACACTTTCTTACGGCTTGCACTTCGTGTCTACTTCCCATATTTAACCACCTCTAGTTCATGGTATATACTAGTTCACTGTATTCATGGCGCTGTGACTCAACGCTCGCTAAACCTTTCTAAAACCAAGGAGGTTACGCCCAGCGAGTATAACGTAGCAACCCTTTCTTGTCAGATAGTGCTCAATGCACATGCCAATGGCTGCTAATGGGGAATGAGAGACAGGAGAATTCGGCTTTTAGTTAACGCACACGCTGCGAATTTTTTATTGTTCGACAACGCACAGGAGAAATCTCCCACCGGCACCACCTTGCAGGTCAAAACGTAAGACTGGTTACACACTACGACTACGACTACGACTACTACGAGAGACGAACGGGTGCTGCTTTAAGGAGCTTCGCCCCTAAAATGGCGTGAACAAAAACTATAACTTAGAAAGCGGCATGCCCTTGCCCCGAAATGAAACGTAGGGTTCGTACTATCTCTTCGGCTACACATCCGTGAATAGCGTGACAATAGACCCTTTGGAAAATTCAGTCTGGCAACATGGCTCTTCCGCCACATATTGTTAACTCCTGCAAGCTGGCGGGCTGTGTGTCCCAGCGGACGCCGATGAGCGTTCCTGCAGCGCACATGGACACCGATTGCGTTCCTGCAAAACGTGTACCGCGTTTGGACGGTACGCCATATGAGCGTCCGGTGGGTGAACAAGACATAGCGGGCAAAAAAAAATGTGTTTTTCGGTTTTCGTTCGATAGTTAGCTTTCAATTTTGAAAAGGGTCTATAGTAATAGTATCCGGGTTTTACCTCCCAGAACCACGATATGATTTTGAGTGATGCCGCAGTGGAAGGTTTCAGAAATTTCGGCCGTGTGGTGTTCTTCCACGTAGCCGCTTGTATATATTTTGCAACACACTTTGGGGGATTGGCCAAGAATGCGACATGGAGCCCGTTTGATGCTCCTCTTTCTTCGTCCTCGTCTCCGTGCGCGCTGCTTCAAGCAAACATCAAGCAGAGGCGTGCGCAGGGTTCCCCCTCTTCCAGAAGTGGTGGGGGGAGGCGGGGAGGATGGAAGTCTTTTCGCAGCGTCCGCAGCGTTCTTATCGCAGCGTCCCCTCTCTACTCGTTGGTCGAGTCCAAATCCAGTATCGCAACGTGGAAAGAACAAGACGGAGGACTTAGTTGCGACGAGACTAGACAATGCTGTGTTCGCACGCAAGAACACAAGAGCAATCGCCCCATAGTGGTCTTCCTCAAAAAGCCAGAAGCTAGCTGCTGCTCGTGCTGCTTGCTTCGTTCTCCTTGTGTCGCCTTGCCAGCTGTTAATCGCGACAATATGTTTTACAATGCATGAAAAAATGCCAACGAAATTCAAGCGATATTTCGTGCTTCCCAGAATGGCCTGCCTTCGGTCCCTTCTTTCCCGGAGCAAAGACGGGATGTAAACATTTCTTTGAATTCAACATGAGAGGCCCATCATTCTCATCAAACAGTTGAGTGGTCTTAACCCTTCCCTTAAGACAACGACGGGGTAGTTTTTACAGATTAAGCTTGTTGGGTGTACTTTGCCCCTCCTTAAGGTTATTAGGAGAAGGGGAGTGCTCTTCCTGGTCCCTGCGTGCGCACACCAGTGTAAGTCAGTTCATGTATGCATGCATGCTGGATGATTTTCAGGCGCCGCCGGTTTCATGCGCTTTATGCCTCTTGCGAGAGGATTCCGGTCGCGCTGTTCTCCTATCCTACCACTCATTTCTCAGCTGCTCCTTTTATTTTCGTGGTCCTTGTTATTAGGCGCATCGCCGTGCCTGTAGCAAACGTGAACACTGTATCAATCCATGCTGCTCCATGATGTAGCACCGTTCGCCTACTCGAGGAACCTGGCGCATAAATCCATATTGCATATACACGCACAGACTACATAAACGCGGCCTATACGAATCGCGTCTATATAAGTGCCGGTTGGTTGACTACGCTGCGTGCTTTGAGCGCGTCAAGAAGAGAAAAAGTGGGACACGTTGATTGGCTCGCTTTATTCGGCGGCACCGCTTCGGGCAGACGCGTGACGCTTTTGTTTGTATGTTTATACTCACATGTTGTTCGAGCAAGTCTCTTCCTTCCTCACCGTCACCCCTACGCGTGTGCAGATATCTTGCCATTTTAGCTGATCGACCTGTTCACTAGAGGCGTCCAAACGAACTTTGACCCTCCCCCTCCGCCCGTAACCGTTCTTGGTGTCGATAGCGAACAAAGGAAAAGAAAAGGAACCACAAGAATAGCGGTAAGGGAACGGTGACGTACAAGGAGGTGCATGAACTTCCGCATGAATTATGCTGATGAAGGTCTCAAGGTCACGGATATCCGCACCATGCACACCTTAACTTCAGTAACATCCCCCCTCCCTTTCCAAAAGCACCCCATCTCAATCCTCCACCGTCATCCGTACTACCATCCCTGCCGGCGGGCATCATTTTCCAGCGCCGGCCGCTTGGTGGCGCTGCACGTCACGACGCGCCAGCGCCGCATCGCGGTCGTGTCACGAACCGCGGTCTGATTCGGCCAATTAGCGTTATTTGCGCAACCCTTCTTTCGGTCGTTACCGGGAAGGGCGCACGAATAGTGTAAGTGCAGCGTTGTAGCTGTGTGGTCACAGAGTTGGGTTAGGATATGGAAATTAGCTTTCAAGAGCGCAACGTGCGTCCCAAAGCGGCGTCTAGCTGCATGCCCGTAATCTGTACCTGGATTGGTCACTCATCGGATTAAGCTAGGAATAAAATAGCACGTCCTGAATGGCCTCATAATTACCCAAGAAATGAAAAAATAAAGGTGTTAATCGTTTTCCTCTATATTCTAATAGATCACTGCCGTTTGCAGAATTGATCGCACTAGTACGCCATCTACACACACAGCATAATTAATCAGCAATATTTCTGAGACTAAGTAAATTTAGGCAGCTGATGATGCTCTTTCAGTTTCTAGCAAGTCCGGCTGCGGCTGGTCGTTCGCTTAATTCGTTGATTTCTCCGCACTGGCACGTACTGTCGAATAAGTCAAATCATCATTTACCTGCATAGCAGCTGTAAGCAAACACAGAATGGTCAGCAAGACTTCGAGTACTCTGCACCTGTAGGAGATCCGAAAGGAGGATGTAATAGCAATTTTTTTGTTAGACACAACGTTATGTAAGATGAA